TTTCTCATTCTTATTACAGTGAGGACTATGTAGGCCTATGTATACATAAAAAAATTGAGTAGTTGCATACGTATTTTTTTCCATGAATCTGTCTGAACGGTTCGTTCTCCATAGAATCGCGTCGGCCGACAATGGCCGGGCTCAGTGAGCGCCCAGCTTAACTGAAATTGGGAAAACAGATGCGTAATGGGGACCTATCGACCGACCGCGACGAACCTACGCCATTGTCGATCTTATGAACAATGCGATACCATTATGGGACACATATCCACTAACCCATAAAACAGTCCTGCACAGAGAAGGATCACTTCTCTTGTAAGCTCCACAGCTTAGGAATACTCCTCTCTTAGCGTAAGTCACTCTTAATGTATCATCCCAATACTGCCAGGGGAGCCCCCCCCCCCTTTGGGAGGTAAAAAAACAGAAAAAACAAAAAACAAAAAACAAAAAATGATAGCCCAGAACGCCTCAAATGTTATTTTCGGGCGTCTAGAACACAAAAATTTCGCGGGGGCGTGCCCCTGGACCCCATAGGACAGTGTTGTCTCGATCGGCCCAACTTTCGGTCCCACTTTCGGCTCCTCCCTTTGGACATCTCTAGATCTGCCCCTGAGTGCTCCACTTTCCCAAGAGACATTCCTTTCCTACTTAATGATAAAAAATCACCACTACACCATTAGCCGAATAATTACTCCACAACTACAACCGAAGGAACATTTCCCCCTTATGTCCACATGTCTTCTCTTCCACTAAAAGAAGCACTCCTTTACTGGACCAAAAATCCTCTTCTATCACAAAGAACACTCGTAGCCCAAAGAAGCACACTTTCAGCCAGAAAGCACCTTTTATCTTCGATCAGAAATCAATCTAGAATTCCAAAGCGCATCAATGATACCATATCTATTGCCCGTTAATTTTTCGTTGCTAACCAATTGCCATTATTTAATAGTAATTACTTATCATGTATAAAAACACAATTGGGCTATACATTTGGACGAGCAGGTTTCAGTGAACGGATAGATGCCTGAATCTAGTTCACAAAGATTACTTTGTGTTCACATATTATGTCAATTGAACATCGAAAGTGACGCCTTCGTGAGATAATAGAGAACCTCTTTAATTCCCCTTTCATTAAAAAAAAGGTTTTTCTCATACAAAAGGATATTTGTGGAAATTCGGTCGAATGTACGTTACAACGGTTTTAAATATCTCTCTTTATTTGTCGACACCTTAAAGTTATTTGTATTGGAGCGTATCATTGGAATAGTATTGAGTCAAGGGTTCCCACTTAAAATTCAACATGTCCCTAATAAAGGATCTATATGTCAGTATTGTTGCTGTATCATTGTTGTTGACTATAACGGGTTTAAAACGACTGTGTGAACTCTAGATTGAGTACAATCTCCTAACTTTAAAAATATTAATTATAAATGGTGTATTATTCATTAACTGTGATATAATACTGCTGGTTGGTTAGTCATGCATCAATATAGTATAACATTATTACTTATTATTTAACGTATTGGGAATACCGTGGGATAGGCCTACACCTTATTGTAATTGTTGAAAGTTACTCTTTCATAATAATCCGTCCAATTAAGGCATGGTAGGACTAATTATTAAAATTTCTCATCGATATTTTTTATCTGATGTTTGTTGGATTAATACCGCTACTCGTCCTGTGCCATAAGCTGTGCCTGGGGCGAACATGTTGACAACTGAACCATATCGTATTAGTAGTAATTTGAGGCTCAGCAAAGAAATTTATCGTTACATCTCCTATTATCCAATAATAACAAGACTGGTACCTGCTGAAGTAGCAACGTAAACTGTTAAGCGCTTGCTTGTGGGAAGGAGTTTGAAGAGAAACAAGCTGGAAAGACGAATCAGAAATATATAGCTCTAGGTAGGTCACTAAGTTCAAAGGTTACTTAAACTATACTATTATTATTTACTTGTTTCTAACCAGGTGGTAACTTCTTCTATGCAACATAATAATTCGTTTAGAACAACATAAAGCAGAGCATGAAGTAGATTGTTTTTCCAATACAGTTGGACTTACAGAGGTCTACTCATAAGACATGGGACATCGCTAAAGAAAAACGGAGAACATTTCCCCGGGATTCCAATCATACTGGCACCATTTAACCAGTTGTGACGTCAGATGACATGAACATGAACAAAATTCAGTCAATCTATCTGTTAGTGTTACTGATAGGCCTGTTAGTATTATGAATCGCATTATTTCTGGTTATGCTGCCTAGGGCCTTGATTTTCAGACGTCCCTATGGAGAGCTTTGAACTGTGTGGTACGCAGGATAGATTCTAAAATTTTATTTATTTAAAAAATACAGTGAGAAATCTTTCTAGAGCATAGGCCTACTCAAGAATATTGTAGATGCCTTTTATCAGCAAAACATGACACTAAAAAGCAAATCTATTTTTCGATCTGTACTACTTACTGATTTTTGTACTTGGCAAAGGCACACCGTAAACAGGAACATAAAAAAGACTAACGGAAGCTCATTCTTCTTAAGTCACAAAGAAAGGGGAACTGTGCAAATATATTTTCATTATTCTAGTTGCAAATGCAATTAATTTAAAACGAAGATAGAAAAAAACACTGTACACTCAGTAAACCGGGGCCAAAACACCATAGGTAGGCCTACTTGATTGATAATGCGGTGTTTAGTGTCGAAGATTGAAACGAGTTCATAAACGAAAAAAAAAATGAGCCGTCAAAACGCTATTAAATCGTATTTTTCACGACAAGTTTTACGACAAGTTTTGTGAACATCATCAGGAATTCGTCTCAAAATTTCGCTGTCTTTATGTTTCACAGAGATTACGATGCTTTCAAAAGACTACATAGCTATCTCTAATCTACTGCTTCGGGCTATTACTTATTCGACCCAGACATTTTATTTAATACCTTATTAAGTTATGACAGATTTCATTAATCACCAATGACTAAGATGATATACCGGTCCATTACATAAATACCTCAGTGTCATCTTTTGTGGGTGCTCGACGGGGCCGTACATTGAGGGTTCTGAACCAATGCTAAGGGACCAGGTTGTAATATGCAATATATATATATATAGGCCTATATATATAGGTTTGAAAGGCAAATGGGAAAACCCATAAAGCAGCAAACGGCCATATAATAGAGATTCTTAAATAATATGTAAGTTTGAAAGGCAAATGGGAAAACCCATAAAACAGCAAACGGCCATATAATGCAAAACAATTTAAAATTAAAATTAAAACGGAACAGTAGAGAAAATCCGATCNNNTGCTATCATTAATGCTCGAATACGGTATTCTTCTATTACAGTAAACAGCTTTCCATTAAACGCACAAGGTAGCATGAATATATTATTTGAGTATTAAATTAATCATAATGAGTAAAAAAATAATATAGATCGGGTTAATTGAAGCAAAATGCAAGATTCTTTGGGACAGTCTACTGTGTTTGTTCCCGATAGGCTAAAAATGAACAATTGTACCTTTAAGCTATGCTCCGGGGGAAACCCATGTTGATATGTTGTACAAGCGTGTTGAGACATTGTTGGGTGTTTAAAATGTGGAATGGCTAATAAAATACAGATTTTTGAATATTTACAAATTGGGGGAAATGGCGTTACGCTCCTTTGATAGTGGGTAAATATGGTCTCAACTAGCCATTTGGCACACTTAGAAGTGTCCCCGTCTCCTTAATAATGGCATATGATAATGGTGTCCTGTTAATAGGGGTTAGCCGCAAGTATTTGGTGTTATAAATAAGAGGTCATGATTCGATTCTTATATCTTGCTTATATCAGGCGGTCCAGTAACTGTATGAAGAACAACCTTATAAATAGAACATAGACCTACAATTTATTCAAATCTACATAATGAACCACATAATTCGTTCACTTGGTTGCTTTTGAGCGTAATAACGAGGTGTTAGTGGGCTATGTAGGCTGATAAACAGAATACAATGGCTACTTTGTAAAACTTGTTCATTCTGAGAAGTTGACAAACTCTTTTCACAGATTGATGACATGCATTGGTATATTGGTATAGACCAACCTGAACACTGTGCACTGTGGAAATACAACTTCAACCTTCATGAACATTTTCTGTTACGCCCCTAATCTCATATTTATGGCACATAATTATTAATATCTTAAACTATCTGTTTGATATCGATAAATATGCATATCATGTCCAAATAAATATCGTCTTCATAACAAATGGATCTTTGAGTTTCTTTGGTTTTTAAATACATTTGTTGTTATTCGTTACTGCACTACCAAGACGCATTATAATGAGTAAAAAAGAAATTCAGCGTATATGGAATAACATTCCACAAACACTACAGTAGTAAGGTCTCTGAATTCAGTAAGTAAATTTTAAAAACTGTTTAAGCAACAACTATTGAATAAGTACTGATTGTCATTTATATTTTCTATCTATTTGTCTTTATGTTCATTCATCCGCTAGTTAATTAACTTGATTGATTTATTTATTTTAAAATAAATTCGTAAGTATACTTGTGTATTATTATTATTATTATTATTATTATTATTATTATTATTATTGCTTGTTATTATTATTTATATGCATGATAAAAGTGTTCTACTTGTTTTGTATGGTTTTTTTCCCAATTCCTTTTGATTTGATCTTTTTATTTACTATAATTGTAATATTTAAATTATTCATATATTGTAATAGGCCTATTTGAATTATTCATATATTGTAATATTTGAATTATTCATATATTGTAATATTTGAATTATTCATATATTGTAATATTTGAATTATTCATATATTGTAATATTTGAATTATTCATATATTGTAATATTTTGTTGCTGGAATTGGAATTAAAGTCGTATTGATATTGACTATCGACTATACCTACGCTTTCATTGGCAAACGAGTCAGTCAGTACCGGTAGTGTTTTAGATTATCATAATCCCAATATGATTTAAATTACATTTTGTTCGTCTTACAGGTGTTCTTTTAAAACCAGTATGAGGAAAACCATTAATACAAGCATTTTCTTGGAGTTATTAGTTTTGTCAGTAATCCTCCTGACACCATTTGCAGAATCATTGTCAACAAGAGACATACGATTGGTCAGTAACTTTTTCTTATTTAATTTCCCATAGATCCAGGTATAAAATATTTTTAGCGCGCATTTGAGCGTCGCGAATATAGGCATAGGCCTGCTTTCTAAAGTTTTGTTCATATTATATGCCTGGCAATTTAGACAACATGATTTTTACTGCTTGTAACTAGACATGTAACGAAATTAATGTGAACACAAATATTATAAGCTTGTTTTTATCAAATCGCTACAGTACGCTATCGTACGTTGTTTCCAGTCCCATGATGCATTTAATTGTGATGGAGTAGCCATGTAATAAAATGAAGCTCGTGCTGCGTCATGCCAATCATATCGGACGGAGTGCTCATGATGTTTATATTTTCAGCAAGCATTGTGAATTAAAATGCTTCGAAGGTTGCAGTTCGACGGTTGCAAAGAGACGTCATTTTCTCTACCCTTAAGGCCGATGTATGAAATAGTATTATGGCTTTCTGTTGATGCTACATAAATAAAAAAGTTTGCCTACACTAATGCACACTGGAACGTAACTGTTCCGTGTGGACGACCCACCACTGGACAGGAATTATAGTAATACATACTGATCCGGAGACATTTTAATACTGGTTCTGTATAATGACTGGGACTATTCCAATACCTTGTTTCCACCCTTTTAATGTGTGATTCACGTTGCTTTTGGAGGATTTACAGAGCAAAAGATTTCTCGTAATATCCTGGCAATCGTAGACACTTTATCGTTATAATCACCAGATTTCTCTGAAGATATAAATTGATATAGAGATATTAAATCACTTAATAATATTAACATCCTTCCCACAATTTCAAGGTTAAAACTATACCGGCACCCTTAAACTTCCGGAGTGCTGCACGTTACGCACTTTTTTATTCAGCACCTTAATTTCGGTACCGAACTTCACGGCTGCAGCAACAAGACAATAGGTCTACATTTAAATTATGCCTGTGTTAGCCTTTGGCCATAGTTATAATATTTATAATAACCTAGTATTAGCTCAGATTAGATCATAGGTTCGGTTTCTATTAATGTGTGGAAGATTGTAATTTAATAGAGACCGTGTCAGTGAGAGATAGGCCTATTATTATATAATATAATTTCTTGGTTTTGTATTGTGAGCCACAGATTTCTAGATATAACAGTAAATGCCACCTTCTTCAGGTTTGGATTGGATCAAATTTTTGGACCATTCAGAGTACTCGGATACCAATTTGGCCAAATTGACAATTTTTGCGTTCCTGTCACACGTCAATCAAGAATCGATCCCAAATCAAAACGTCTGTATTAAATCGTGCTATAATCATCGGATCCCTCTTTAAAAATGGATTTACACAAACATATCTGGTTTGTATAATCAAGATCACGATTTAGTAGGCTCTTAAACTGAATTTAGGACGTATATATATTCGGCAACAACAGCATCGTCAAGCCATATCGGAAATTTCAAATATTGCACGCAGCACATTTATATTGTCTACTTACCAGCAACAGTTCAGTTGATGACATAAGCTGAATGAGCCTACCTAGGTATGATTTTTATATTGTTTACTGTCATCAATTCATCATGCATAAGCACCAACTCAACAGAGAATGTAAAGTGTTACCTTTTTGGGAAAATTGTTAGGCCCATAAGCGAAAATCTAAGCCGGAAAAAACATAAAATACGCATCAAATAAAATTTCAAAAGTCATTGGCCGTATTCGACTGGTCGTTCTTCGTTGAACCACGCCCACCTGCGCAGTGGTAAAATCCTACTTAACGAAGACGACCAGTCGAATAAAAATCTGGTAAATACCGGTACTCGACAAAACAAAATGGCTGCATAGTTACCGCGATACACGTTGCGTGAAAAGGCTGCTTCGGATTGTGGCAGTATGGGTTTTTCGTTAAAAAATGTTCATCCAGTTTATGAATTCTGCTAGCCTACAATTATTTTTTGACCTTCAATGTGGGTAAATATTTTAATTTTTATTTTCTGAAATTTAATCTAAATTATATTTGTAACGCAAATGTTGTTGTCACGTGCATATCTTAAACGCTGATTAACGCATTCTGGTTACGTTAATTTTCGTTGTCAACGAAGTCTATTTTATCGAACCAGTCGAATGAAAATAATACTCTACAACGAAATGAACCGGTCGAATAAGCCCATTTAATTGGTATTATTTGCAAAGTTAAAAACATATTTCCTGTACATTATTTGTATAAGTTAGGCTTAGGCCTATATATAATAACGCTTTCATCTTGCCGCATCTTCCATATGGAAGTACGGTATTATATGAGGTGGTGCTTACCATATACATACTACAAATTTAGGCCTATGCAAGGAGTGATTACAAACTCACGTCGAGATTCCAGATCACCGATGTTAAAACAATTTAATCTTTTCACAATATACAGTAACTGATAAATAAATGAGAGGCAGTATGCCATCATCTCAGAAAACTTCTCTCCTCTATACTCGAAATCATTGATACCAATACAAACAGTGAAGGTGCTAAAACTTTAAAAAGTGTATGTAGGCCTATATCTTTCTCAAGATTTTAAATTAGTCATATGGATATATTTATGGACCAAGACTCTGGAATAAGTTACACAATAGTATCACATTAAACTCCCAACATTAAGAGATGATATTGGATACATAGGCCTACACTTAACTAAATTAAAATGTTATATTTCGTTTCTCCGCTTTAAACTTGCTGTGAACAAATCTGCAAAGAAAGACGCTTTATAAATGTACTGATTGGATTGGATTGGATTAAATTGGGTTGAAGCCATTCCATCGATGATACAATACGAAACAGGGTGAAAAATCAAATTCGATCCCCGAGAAAAATGAGAATTTATCAAACATTTATAGATGATAACATGGATTGCGTTTTATTACATACAAAGTGCGACAGAGTTTATTAAAAAGTGCGACAGAGTTTATTACAAAGTACGACAGTTCATTTTATTACGAAGTGCGACAAACAGTTTATTACAAAGTACGACAGCTCTGTTAATACAAAGTGCGACAGACTTTATTACAAAGTGCGAAAGTTATTACAAAGTGCGACAGACTTTATTACAAAGTGCGACAGTTTATTACAAAGTGCGACGCAACAACCGTGTCAGAATTCCACAAACATTATTTGTTGAACGAACGAGGAAAAAACCCATAATAGCGAAAGGTCCGAGAGCACCTCTCCAAACACCCGTTGGGTTCATCCTGTGAATCACCCGTATGTTACGGTTCACTGACAGTCTTCCCAAAGCGGACCTAATAATTATTTCCGATTTTGGCGCAAGCACCTAACAGACCATTATGACAATAACTGTAAATCATGTTTAAACAGATCTTTGGATGTTTTAACGTTAATTTGGGCCTATTCCTAATCAATAACAGACACATTTCCACGATGTTTATGCCTATCTTCTGAGACACCGTCTAGAAGATATACGCCAAAATGGGGAACTCAAGTCTGAGAAATGCCATAACGATGAACCTAGTGACATGTAAATACAGCAGAATATGCCTATATTCCCTCCAACTATGAAACCATGTGGGTCGTGCGCTCATGTACGTACGTCACCATGAGAAAGGAACATGCCATAAACGAGGAAATTGGCGGCATGTCTATGGACCAAGGAATAGGCACGAAGTCATACGCGTGTCACACGCTCGTCGTAACAGAGGATGAACTGCATATCGACCAAAGAATAGACCCAAATAAACTCCCTCCGTATAAAGCCACGCGCGGGTCGCACGCTCATTGTACGTCATCACGAGATGTCGTGGGATGCCACTTTAATTCAGAATTAGTTATAAGAATAACTAAGGTAGAACAAAGAGTTATAAATATAATGACTGGCCGAGGGAATATGATGGGACTTCCTCCTAGACTTAAGTCACGAACATATTGATGAAAATAACATCCACAAGAAAAAACCTTCCCACGCGGTATCGCTTTTACGAGCGTGATAAGCCAAACAAAGTAGGGAAAAGTGGGATAAAAATTCACAGACCTTTTTTTTTAATGACAACAGCAAATAGTAATGCCTTTACCGTTGATTGTGCACGAATCAGGTGTGTCAGTGAATTATTTTTAAACTCCTTTACCTGATTGATGTATTCTTACTAGACTGAAATTATGAAATTGAAAAGCAAACCGGACGGTACCGGTATGTAATTTTCTGTCACAGTTTTAGGTAGACCTCCCGGAACGTTTCACTTTATTTGACATTTTGCGACTGTGTTCACTTGATTCTCATCTTCAATTAACATTGCTGTAGGCCTACTGTAGACTGTCCAATAATGTACGTACGTACGTGTATCTTATCTCAAATCAATATATATAATGAAAATTATGCATATTTTTACTCTAGAAAAATGTGTGTTAAATGATTTTGTAAATTCTGAAACAACAATATTAACATTTTACTTTATACACAGCTGATTCTGTATGCCCTTTATAGGCCTGTAAGAAAATATAGACAGAAACGGACACTATAAATACAATTCTCGAATTAGTTGAATAACGATTTCTTTGGCATTTTAACTGTTATGATCGAACAAGTCTTTTGTAAATTTTATTCTGTGTGTGTATGTTGTATATTTATGTCATGCTGTAAATTTTGCTATGTCGAGATTAAATAAAGTTTTGAATAAAATTAAAATCTAATGTTGTTGCTCATACGGTAGCTTGTTCTGTTTCTGTCTCCGCTACAAAACTGTGAAGAGAATTATTCCTTTTTACGTCACTTGACATTTCTTGAAAATTCTACGAATAGTCAAAACCTGGTTTTGATTTCAAACTGGAAATGCCATTTTGGGGAAACTAAACCTCTCTAATAAAATACCCACGAAAACTCCAAAATGCTTTTAAAGAGGACAACGAACGATGAAAATGACAACGAAAAACAAATAAAAATGAAACAGTTTTCTGCAAGTATGGGAAATATCGGCTTTGGTTGTTTCCCGAGGTCCATTTACAACAATATGGAAATAATTAGGGTATTATAGGATAGTAAACCAAGCGTTGTACTTTCTATATCCGATGGAAGAATGCCAATGAATGTCATTGCAATGTGAACAAATCTTCAACTTAGACCCTAGGTAGGCGTACTCAATCTTTACAATTCCAAAATATAACGTTCATATTGAACAATAGGCCTATATAGGCCTAGTATTTTGATACTTTTGTATATAGAGCCGTCTTCAAATCCATGAATAAGGCAACCCTTTCCTGTTATATTGTATTGTGTATTTATCGATGATGCGTCATTCTACTAAAATAGACTGGCATGAACATTTATTAATTTACTTCTCACACAAGGGTGACCCCCTGTTCGTTCCCCTTCCCAAATAGGTCTATTAACATCTACAGTCCAACTTATTTATGCCGTACTATTTACAATAGATACCATATAATATACACATATATATATAATATATATAAATATATAATATATAATGTATATATATATATTGTTATATATATACTGTTTTTAACCCTCTTCATTGTTAAGGTTTCCCCTTATGGATGGATCTATGCTGCTATATA